AGCACAAGTGATTACACTGTCTCATGAGTAATAGATGTAGAGATAATTAACCATGAAAATTATTTTTCTGTTGACTACAAGTCTGCCCTCAACTGGAGGGCATTTCATCCTGAAGAGCACTTTCCAATTCTGTTCAAGCAGACTGAAACTCTGAATGGCTGGGCTTCTCTGTATATGGATCTGAGTGTTCATCTGTCACTGGAGCTCTTGATTTCCCCAACTTTGACAAAGTAGAGTGATGCCTTGGAAAGTTGTGTTGGATTCTGTTTCAATGGTAGAGACCATCATGATCGGAATGTTCCCATTATTGGAGCTGTTCATTTCCCAAACCTTGGCAATGTAGAGCGATGCTTTGCAGAGCTGTGGTAGATTCCACTGTGGAGGGGCCTCACTGGGCATCTCATTGGTAGAGACTATCACATTGTCACACATGTTGCAGTCACTGGACACTGCTCCAGCAGTGTTTATTAGGACCTAGCATTAGCAGTAGTGAGTTTAAGAAACCTTTATGGAATGTCTTAAATATAGTGTCTGTTTGTATTAAAAAGTCAGTTTGCTATATTTACATTACCCACATAAAATTTGGACATCTACACAAGCTAGCATCAGCATATTTGAAAGCACTGCTGTACATTTCTTCCTCATCTGTCAATTGACCTGGGAAAAGAGTGACCTCACTATGGATCCATGGAAGAGCAAGGTATCCACAGAAGAGTCAAGCCAGAGAGAAGGCCAGGGCCTGCCAACAGAGGACATGGATTCCAGATCCCTCTGTACTCTCCTGAGTGTCTGAGGGCAACATTGGATCAAGACTGCACACTGATTCCTGGCTGACATAAATTGATTAAGAGAGAGCTATGGTATAATAGGGATTCGTGGACATGTGGAAATGATACTGAGTTGATTCCCTAAGATGTAAATCACGTTTGCCAAATCTGTGCAGGCTCAGCTATGTAACAGTCATTTATTTATAATTTCAAAAATTTGAACAATATTAAGTATCATGGGAGGAATCTGGGCAAGGATTTAATACAATTATCATTCTATCATCTGTCTATTAAACTACTTGTCTATCTTTCCATCTATCATCATTGTATCCATCTATACTGTCATATTTCTATTGATCAATCAACTCTCTATTTACCTTTCATTTTTTAAATTTAGTGCCTTATTATTTTCTATCCTTTGTACCTGTATAATCCAATATTTGGCTATTTTGTATTTCTCTGTCCACATACATTTTAACTATTTCATCTACAGTTATGTACCTATCATTAATGGATGTATCATCTGCTTATTTTAATGGCGTTATTAACATAGCTGAGACAAAACTGTGGATATATAGTCTATAAAGATTGATATAGTTAACAAGATTGCATAAGAGACTGAGAAAACAGTATAACCAACAAGATCGTTTTCCCACAATTTACTTCCTCTTGCAAAGCAACCTGGACAGTCATATTGGAGGAGACTACGTTTTCATTAAAAATTATGCTTCCCCTAAGTGTAAGACTCTGTGTCCTGAGTATTTGTATAGCAGAATGAAATTTGATGTTCACTCTGCAATCAGCAATCCTGCGACACAGTGCAATGTGTGTATTGAAAACCAGAAACAGCAAAATTGAGATTTAAATTTGGAGCAGGTTTACAAACTAGAAAGCCTCTGTAGACTCTCTCTCTTTCTCTCTCTCTCTGTCACTCTCTCTGTCTCTGTCTCTCTCTCACCTCTCTCTCTACCTCCTCTCTCTCTGTCTCTTACAATTTTCCATACACATAATCCATTTCATTTGAGAAAAGTATATTTAACTTTTAAATTCAAACATTTTCACAAAACTCATTAATCTTTGCCAGAGCTCTCAATTGCTTTATTGTGTTTCATTACTTGGGTAATTATCAATCAGTCATTTGTATATGATGTTGCATGAAATAGGAAATAACTTTGGCAAACTAAATAATGTCGCCCTTTTGTTACCAGTTTCTTGTGACTCAGGAATGCACTGATCTGAAAGAAATGACCCTCAATTCTGACTCCTTCACATTCATGGTTCCTGAAGGCAGAGCTAGGTGATGTTCTCACACTGAAATCCCTACCTCCCTGAATTCACCATGGACCTCACCATCCAGCTCATCATATGAAGTTAATTAATCCTCATCCTTCATGCTGCTCTGCTCTTTGCCTGAGTCCTGTCCCTGTTGTGAGGTCCCAGGTACTCTGGCACCATCCAACCAGCGTGGGCACACCTCCCAGAACACACCACGACCTGGGATAGAGCCATATCTTCACTGTGGCCCTTTTAAATTTCTGCTTGCCAGTAGATCTTTCAAATCCCTGATAATTTCTTGCGTTCATCCTGTTGTATCTTTTTCAGTGTCTTTTCAGTTGAGATGTATTTTTAACTTTGTTGGATCAGACACTTGATTCTGGTTACAAACCAGTTGAATTTTATCTGTAAAAATCTCATAAGCTCCCTGATTCATGTTTATAATAATCAAAAACTTATTTCCAACATTGTAACAGGAGGAAAAGCCATAAAATTTGAGCATCCTCATATTATCTGGACCCACAAGAATGATATTGGAAAGATATCATATTCCTTGAAAACATGGAAGCCTGGAAAATCTAGCATCACTGGTGATATCTATTCCCTTTACACAAAAGTCACAGGACATCCACAGTGGAGGGAAAAGTGACATGGTGAGGAGGGGTGACTGGAGGACAACAGAGGACCAGGGCAAGTTTGAGAGCTCCTTAGATGACTAAACCCACGGGTTCCCCCAGAGCCTTCCATGATCTCAAGATGAGGACCAAACAGAGGGTTCTGACAGGGAAAAAGGAGAGAAAAACCCTGAGATCATCACCAAATGCCTTCTCCAGACACTCAGGGAAGGGTTTTGGTTGTGGCTTGTATCTCCATGCTTCCCAAAGCCTCATTTTCCCATACATGGGGAGCTGTGAAGGTAGCTTGGTGTGACACTGGTGTAAGGGTGTGAGCATCACACCCTCATTGTGTGGATGAGGGAAGGCAAACCCTGGGAGTGTTTGGCAGCACCCAAAAGCCCTTTGGCCTGGATGAGATAAAAGGAAAAGTTAGACTGGTTGCTGCTGCTGTTCCTACTTGCTGTCTTCTGCCAGTGGACTGTTTTTTCAGCCATGAAACAGGCTGCTTCACCTCTGTGGTGGCTCTCAGCCATGCCATCCTGCTTCAGAAGCAGGTCACTAAAGACTGAATCCTGGGGTCCAGAGATTTACCTCAGTGGCATAAGCGCCTTCCTGGCAAGCACAAAGTTGTGAGTTCAATCTCCAGTACAAAAAAAAAAAAAAAAAAAAAAAAACAAGACTGATCCTGTTCAAAGTGTGAGCTAAATAAACTATTCTTAATTTAACTTTCATGTCAGGATTTTGTCAGCAACCACAATGGTAACCAAAGTAGCTTTGGTGGTGGATTGAAGACTGCTGGTAAACAACACCAGTTGAACTGAATCACCATTGTCCTGAGTGTGGATGGCCCACCTGAGGAGTGCTGTCAACACCATAAAATGAACTAGAGAGAAAGAAATGTTGTTGTGTGGCCATGTTGGTTTTGCTAGGTGCTGTTGGATTAACTGTTGCCATGGGTTCACCTGGAGGAACTTAATGAACAACTTTCCTGATATGAACATGGCTGTTGTCATCATCAGGGGAGCTCAGGGCCTTGTTGTCATTAAGAATGGGTTAGTTCACTTTGGGGAGCTCTGGTCCTTACTTTTCACATTGCTTCCTGCCACCATTGGGGAAGATGAGTGCTGTTCAGTCTCCTGGAGAAGTTGTCACCCTGACTTCCTGGTATGAACTGTGATATTTTCATCAGAGGAGGAGCTTGGGAATTTGTTGTTTCTGGCAATGGCTGTATTACTTTTGGGGGAGCTCTGATCCTTAGTGTGAGTGCAGCCTCATGGCTGCACTGCAGATCCATCAGCCTGCTGTCACAGATCCTTCACCTCGCTGGCACAGACTTTCTGGGTTTCACCGCTGATCTTTGGGCCTTCCCAATGCAGATATCTGAAACAGATTTGGATGAGGCATTATCATGGGCTCTAGGTCTTCATCTGGGCTCATGCAGTAATTTTGTCTGATCCAAGACCTTAAGTGGATTCTTTGGGTCTTAGTGCATGAATAGATTTCCTGCATTCGTCTTCAGGGTGATTATCAAAAAAACTTATAAATTTTGTGTCTTGTATTGTATTCTTCTCCTTGAAAATCATGGCTACAACAGCTTTCAAAAAAGTTATTCATGGTAGACATTTAATTATTACCAATTTCAATCACTAATTTCAAAGACTCTTGTGAATATCACCACTTCTATTACCATGATGATGGTATCATGTGCATAATGTTCGTAATATATAATTGTTCAAGGGAAAAACTCTAATGAGATAAGTGTTTTGAACTTAGGAATCACCTCCAAAGGAGAAGAGGAGATGCTGGATCTAGAAAAGGAATGACCATCCGTAAAACCCTCTTGCTCATGTAGTGAGAGCAAAATTAACCTAGATGGCTTCCTTCTCTTCCCAGATAATTAGAAACTTCTCTGTGAGATAAGCACAGAACTCATTTCTTTATTTCCAGTTTCTGCTGGCTCTGCTCAGGTGGTACTTGTACCAAAGGATGTCTTAGAGCAGGAGGCAGGTGGACCTCTCCTGATAACAGTAATGGCAGTGAAGGGAGCTTTAAAGCAACAGGAATGAACCAAATCAGAAAGCTAAGGGAAACATAGAGAGAGTTGTGTTGAATTTTTTCATGAAAACTGGCAGCAGTGTGTGACTGGGAAGAGAAGAAGGGTCAGTAAGAATCCATTCCTGAACTTAACTTCCACTTATCACAGACTCAAATCCAACTGGAATTCAAAAAAAGGGGGTCTTCTCAGTAGCAGAAAAGATAAGACATAGCCTGGCCTTAATGTCACTCTCATATAGGAAGTGTGCAACCAATATGCAAATATCTGCTCCAACTTTAGATTTATAATTCTCTCATGGGTTGTGGGAGCTCACAGCCCCATCCCCATACATGGTTGTGGTCTCTCAGGAAGGCAGCAGTGTGGTCTACAAGATGAAACTGCTGGGTCTTCTCCTGTGCCTGATGACAAGTCCCCATGGTGAGTGTTCTCAATATCAGACATGGCTCCTTGTAAAGTTTGCAAAAGCAGGTGACTAATTGGATGGATTTTATTGTCCTAGGTGTCCTGTCCCAGGTGCAGCTACAGGAGTCGGGGTCTGGCCTGGTAAAGCCCTCACAGACCCTGTCCCTCACCTGCTCAGTCTCTGGATTCTCCATCACAACTACTAATTACTGGTGGAGCTGGATCCGTCAGCCCCCAGCAAAGAGCCTGGAGTGGATGGGCCACATAAGCTATAGTGGTAGTACTTACTACAACCCGTCCTTCCAGAGCCGCATCTCCATCTCCAGAGACACAGGCAAGAACCAATTCTCTCTGCAGCTGAACTCTCTCACCACAGAAGACACAGCCACCTATTACTGTGCAAGATACACAGTGTTTTGATGCAAGTGTGAGCCCAGACATAAACCTTTCCGCAGGGAAAATCACATCCAGCAGGGGGTGCCCTGCACAAGTTGCTCTAGGGAATCAGCTTTGCAATCCTGTCCTGACAGTCTGAAAGGGTTTTTTTAGTAGTCCAAGGACAGAGATGCTAGGGACCTTCTATGTCTCTGATCCTACAGTGTTATGTTTTTATGGAATCAGGCTTTTATTCTTCTCCCATCAATTTCATTACTAATTGGACAATGTATTTTCAATAAAGCCCTTTTTCACAACAAAAGTGACTACACAATCGCAAGAGTTTTTAGGTATACAAATATTTAATATTTATTTATCTATGGCTGGAAGTCTGGCCTGCACCTTCAGATGCATTTGCAGGTCATCTCATCCTGAAGGTCACTTTCCATTTCTGTTCATGCAGAGATTTTTAATATAAATGGCTGGACATAACTGTGTGAGGGTTGATCTGAGTGTTCACCTGTTATTGGAGCTGTTCATTCCCCAACCCTTGGTGCTGTAGGGCGATACCTTGGAGAGCTGTGGTAAATTCCAATGTGGAAGGGCCTCTCTTGACATCTCATTGATAGAGACCATCACACTGTCACACATCCTGCAGTCATAGGGCACTGCCCAAGCAGTGTTTATTAGAGTCTAGCATCAGTAGTAGAGAGTTTCAGAAACGATCACAGAATTTATTAAATATTGTGTCTGTTTTACTGAAAAGTGAATCTGTTATATTTGCATTACCCTCCATGAAATTTGGAAATTTCTTCAAACTGCTGTGAGCATGTCTGGAAACACTGCTGTCTTCATCTGCCAGTTGACCAGGGAACCTGATCTTGGTTCCTTGAGTGAACATGATGCCCACAGCAGAGACAAAACCAATGAGGAGTCCAGGGCCAGCCCACAGAGGAACCTGGACTCCAGCTCTCTCTGAGCTCTCCTGACCCACTATAGACAAGGCTGGGCCAGCCTTGTACACTGACTCCTGCCTGGTATGAAATCATTGGGAGGGGGCTTTGGGATCACAGGGACTTGGGGGCATGTGAAAATGTCATTATGAAAATTCCCTATGATACAGATCACGGTTGCCATATCTCTACAGGTTGAGATATGTAAGCAGTCATTTATTCATGGTTTCAAAATTTTGAACACAAATATTATGGAGAAATCTGAGCAATGATTTTACATAATTATCCATCCTTTTTATCATCTGCCCATTGATTTATCTGTCATTGGATACACTGTCATCATTCTTTCCATCTATGCTTTTGTCATATTTCTATTTACTCACTGTCTCTATGTATTTGCTTTCATATATGTATCTATTATAAATTTATTATTTATACACATTCTTGTTATCCACTTTTAACTTTGTGCCTTCCAATTATCTGTCGTTCATGTATGTATCATACATAATTTAACTATTTTTCATCACTCTGACAATCTGTATCTTAACTTTATCATCTTTCATTTATCTATCATTAATGATGTATCATCTGCTTATCTCTAACAATATAGGTGATGTAAAAAGCTGTTGATGTAATTGTAAGGATTGATATACTTAAAAAAAATGGCCTAAGGAGACTGAGAACAGGATATGACCCACAAGCTCTCTTGCCCATGATTTAGTTCCTCATGTAATTCAACAGCACTGTACTGTTGGAGACTATATTTTCTTAAAAGAGAAGCTTCCACATGATACACAAACTGTCCCTGCACTGAATATTTGCTGTAGAAGAATAAAATTTGATGTTCACTCAGAAATCAGTCCTGCAACACAGTTAATGCAATGTGTGCATTGAAAACTAGAAATAATACACATGAGGTTTTAAGCTAGAGCAAGTTTACAAACTAGAAGTCATCCATAGATTAACTACTGTTTTTCCATACAAATATAATATTTACTAATGTATATGTGTGACACTTCTTACTTCATACTAGGTGAGGATACAGCTTACAGATGTCACACTCCACACACATGCAGACTCTCAGATGTACTAGGTGACATGTTCTGACTGCTCTCCTGTCTCTCTCTGGACATGGTCCATGACTAAGAGACTGAATGTCATGCTATGCCCAGTAGTGTCCTGAGGTGGGAGCTGCCCCAGCATTTGGTCCACACATCAGCTGTCTGCTCTCATCCTGGACCTAGCTGGTGCTGCTCATTCCTTGTCCCTGTGAGAACAAGCAGCTCCCAGGTCAGCTCATGTCTCCAGGAACCCATCTGTCTGCTGGCACCTACACTTCATCATGTGCTCGCTGGCATGGAGAGCAGTTTAGGGGCGGGTTTCCCAAGCTCTTGTGCATGCAGTTCATTCTCCTAGGCACCAACTCCAGGTGCTGCCTCAGTGCATTCTTCCATCTGCTCCTCACCACCAGGAACCACTCTGAACCCAGGTTCTGCAGCTGTGAATTGAGACAGAGGCCTTGTTGCTGCCAACTCGGGCTGGTTTCCTATGCTCAGGAGAGAGGTGGGCAGCAGCCACCTCTTCTCAGCTTGTCTCTCACTCCTGCCTCTGTCCACTGCTCTGTGAGAAAGGGGTGGAAACCAAGGGCCTCCCAAGGCCCGATGCTGCTCCAGGGCACAGGTTAGTGCAAAATGCAGCTGAAGAGAAGCCTCTGTCTCTTTCAATCAAGTGCTCAGGATTTGGCTCAGCACTGAGGAGCAGGGCCTCATGGCTGATATCTTGAGTTCTGAGGTTGAGGTCACTGACAGAAACCCAGTTACAAGCAGCTAGGTACTAGGCTGCTTCTGGTGAACAAATTAAATTTGGTTCTCTTGAAATAGATCAAGTACAGTTTGAGTTCCCATTCAAGGTGACTTTATTTTCTTGTACTGTGCCCCTTTGAGGTTTGCAGATATACTTAAAGGTACTGCTAAGCAGTGTGTTGCAGAGTGAGTCCTCAAAGCTTTACCTACTGCCAAAGGAGAATGAGACGTGTGTCTTCCCTTGTGCAGGAAACTTCTGCAATGCACAGAGCACCAGGGATCAGCTCTCCATTTCTCCGTCTGCCCCATACACTCAACCTGTGTCAATCAGTCATTCTTTCTCTATGAGGTCAGCTGTTTAGTGCACCCCAATAGCAGTGGTTTCCTGAATTGTCCACCTTGTGTCCTTGCTTTTATTGTCTCCTAACTGTAAGATTTCTCAGTGTGTTGATCTGCTTTCTTTCACTACAGCAAATTCCTGAAATAATAAATTTTATAGAGAAATGTGTTGTTTTCTCTTACAGTTTCACAGCTTCAAAACCACTGTCAGAAGTTCTCATGCTTTAAGTGCAATTGACTTTCCTAAGTGAAATCAATGATAATTTAGTGCACGTTCTGTGCAAGTAAACTGTCCAAATTCTCAGAAATCACAAAGAAGAGAAGAGCCTAGGTTCTGGGAATCCCGTATAGAGGTGTGCTCCATCGATCTAACGATATTCCAGCAGACCCATCTTCCAAATCTCTGCCATCTCCTAATGCTCCACAGGCTTGGGCCAAGGCCTGAACACATGGCCTTCAATGGGTGCTTATTCATAAAATAGCATGAATTCTGCCCATGCTGCCTCAAAATAGAGGATTTTAAACATTTCTATGACTGAAAAATCCATGACATTTTTATCACTCATTCATTTCTCGAAGGATTGAAACAATATCTTAGCTCTTGAAAATAGTGCCAAAATAAACATGATAGTGATGGTTTGCTTTGATATACACTGTTCAGAAACTTTGAATACATCCCAGCAATGGGATTTGTGGATTATAGTGAATTTCTGTACTTTAGTATTTTTGGAAATTGCACATCAGCTTTTACAGCCACTGATGGAATTTACATATCTTCCAGGAGTGTAATGATTTCCCCCTTCTACACATCCTCATGAGGAATCATCAGTTTTATCTTTTGTTTTGTACACATTTGAAATGAGACTGTGGTGGATGATAATGTATTTTCTTTTACATGGTTAGAATTGTTAACATTGAGCATTTTTCTGAGCCAGATTTTCCCTTTGTTCTTCCTTTAAACAAATGTCTATTAAAGTTTTTCCCAATTTTAAAGAAATTATTGTCTTAATTATTATTATTATTATTTTGCTTTATAAGTTTTACTTCATTATGCATTGTTTATATAACCATGTTGGTACTACCATGTTGTACCAAATCATATGGAGATGTCTTGACTTTCTGTTGATCATTTCTTTTGTGTATGAGATTTCTTTCTAGTTTGCTGTAATCCCACTTTTCTACTTTCACTTTTGTTTACATTCTACTCAGTAACATAATCTCCTAGGCCTAGGCTACAGAAGTTGATATATATTTTCATTATTTAATCATTAAATGCTTATATGTTTAATTTTTAGTGTAAACTTGCAGATGCTGAAACAGGTTTCTGATCTCATGGTTCACCGTGCATTTTCCCAAGCACCATTTGCTGAAGTAACACCAGGTGTGTACTCCTGGGTCTTTTGTTGAAAATATTTTGGCTGCACAGAGGATGGTTTATTTCTCAGTATGTTATTCTTTTGTATGCTTGCTCTTGTCTATTTTTGCCAGCACCATGCTTTTGTGGTTCTCTGTTTTTATCTAATCTGTATCTATTTAGATCATCCATTACATCGGTGTATGATGATGCCATCTGTTTTTTTTTTTTTTAATATAAGGTTGTTTTTTTGTCCTGGATTTTATCATTTTTATTATAGGAATAGAGGGATTTTGTTTCTATTTCAGGAGAAAATACCATTGGAATTCCATTAGGTATGCATATTTCTTTAGGTAATGCTACGGGGTTTTTGTTTTGTTTTGTTTTTGTTTTTGTTTTTTGGTACAGGGTTTGAACTCAAAACATAGTGTTTCCCATGCAGGCTTATGCTGCTGAGCTGAATCTCCAACCCAGTAATACTACTATTGTATACTGAGGGTTTCCTAAAGGTAAGTGGGTGCTATCTCCATTCTCAGCAACATGCTTGGAGATGTGATAGAAATTTAAAAGTGCACCCTTCTGCGAGTTCTTTTGGTA